AGTGGCTATTTCGGGAAGACATGTCATAATTGGCCGCCCCGGTTAAGCTGCTTCTGTAATGCTGAGCAAAACAATAGCAGCATCCAGAGGAAGAGCCTGTTATGTTTCAGGTGGGATGTTTTCAACCGGTCAGGAAACTCGACCGCTCCCAGCGCACAGCGGCGGCACAAAGGACAGGGGAGGCTGAACAGCATGGACCGAGGGCCTGGCCAAGCAGCAGGGACCTGGCACGGGCTGGGGACAGACCTGACTGAGAATGCTGCCTGTCCCAGCAGCCTCTCTGTCACCTCCTCTTGTCCACCTGCCTGTCCGGACTCTTCTCCCTCCAGATACCGGGGCAGCATCCAGAATGTGCCTGGTCTTTCGCTTCAGCTTGACACACTGCTGCTGTCACCAGCTGTCACCAACTCTGTCCCAGTCTGGGCACGTGGTGAGGGTGGAGGAAGGCTGGCAGCGGAGCCAGGGAGCAGAAGCCAACCCACAGCCCAGGGCCAGACAGCAAGGGGCTGTCGCCTCACATCCAGGGCTGCTGTGAGATACAAGAAACTAGGACCTGACCCTGCTCTGACCTATCTTTTCCCCTCAGTGTGAAGGGTTTGGGGTCCAAACTTGTGTAGGGGAACAGAGCTGAGCTCTCCTGTTCCCTCTACAGCTGCTGCTGGCTGAGGGTCACCCCATTTGGCATTTACCCTGCCTGGACCTGTGCTCCCCAGGAGCTCAAGCTACAGTCCTGTGCACACCCAGTCAGGACAGGGACTGAAGGAGCGTAGGGAAGCCCAAATCCACCTCAAGGTGTGAATGTGACCCCAACATAGAGGATGCAATGAGGATGTGGAGGGCTGCCCTGCAGTAGCAGTGAACCTGGGACAGTGCTGGGTGGGTGATCACCATCAGCAGAGCTGGGTTGCCAGAGGTGAGGAGCAGGGCAAAAGCAGGGAAAGGAAAGGCAGGAAAACCTGCTGGGGAGAAGGCAGTGAATCTACCTGTGAGAAGTACAACTCTGCAAGTCCCAGGTGAGGCCATGACACTGCACTCCCCTTGGGCACAGGGAGAAACCAGATGGCCAAGGCGTGAAGGCTTTGCCCTGCAGCCTGGGTCCCTGCACACACCATCAGATTCCATGGGAGGCAGCCACAGCACCTGGACCTGAGTCCCCACTGCTGTGCAGGCACAGCCACATGGCCCTGCACGGGGAGCTGAGGCTCCTAGTGTGCTGAGAGCGGAGTCACATCTGCTGGACTCAGATGGAGCTTGTCCCCAGGATAATGAAACGTGGACTCCGAGAGCAGCCGATGTGTGAGCTCCCTTGGTGGGCAGTGAACAAGAGGCTGTAACAGGGAAGGCAGAAGTTTCCCAGGTCCCATGACACACAAAATCTCTTGCGAAGAGCAAAAAGGTCAAGGATCACAGGCTAAGAGGGAAAGTGGAGGGGGTGGATGCTGAGCTGGCTCAAACCTGGCCTCCTCTGGCAGCATTTTCCACCCGAGCTCCTCTGCTCCTCCAGCTGCGTGGTCAGTACCAGGGCAGGGAGAGGACTGGGGCAAGCACACATGTTCTGCTCCAGGCCATTCCCAGCCAGCTACAGAGTAGATGACTTTACTGAAGCCCCAAGGACTCCTCCTCCACCCCGTGCCTTCAGACTCCAACTGCACCTCAGCTCTCAGCTGTGCAGCCCCTGAAGCTGCCCACACCCTCATTTTGACCTCTCTCTGCCTGCAAGCATCGGCCCCAGCACGGCCGGGGAGGAAGGGAGGAGCACGCCGGGGGGAGAAAGCCCCTGACAACATCAGGCAGCCCCCACTCTCCCCACAGAATGGGCAGCGGCCATCCCGGGGGCCCTGCTGCAGCTGGGCTGGTCGCCGGGGCTGGGATCTGCTGCACGCTGCCCTCCCTGAACATGTGCAGTTCCTGTTTGCTGTGTCTGTACAAGGCAGTGGGAAGTGGGGAATTTACTTACACCTCCCGCTTAACAACCCTGGGAGGCTGGAAGGCTTCAGGCCGCTTTAATTTACAGCCCATCTCTCCAATCTCTCACTCATTCGCTGCTGCTTTCTTCCTCCTTGTATTAACGTGACCCAGGTACCTGCCAACAATAATGGACTCGCTTGCGGGGGCGGCCCCTCCCTCCCGGCACAGCTTCTACCTTCGCCTTGATATGAATTGCTCCAAATTCAAATGAAAAAAGAAAAAAGGCAAAATCTGAAAAGGTTGGGGTGGGTTTGGAAAAGCGAAGCGCAGTGGTTCTGGGCCCGGCGCCAGTAGCCGGAGGGTACACATGTGCAGGCTCTCCCAGTAGGGCCTTCAGCAGCCCTGTTTTACAACCACCTCGGCACACACTGCAGAGTTCACGCATATGGCCAGACAGATGTGTCTGGCTTACGTTCAAGGCTGGAAAATGAAGAATTATGGAAGTGAAGGGCCCTGGGCATTAGAGAGGGCGGAGGTGAGGGGGAGGGGAGCCAGGGAGAATTTTTCCTCTGCTGAGAAATCCTCATCTGGGCTGCGGGGCTGGAGGAAGAGGGGTTGTGAGCAAGGAGGCAGCCAACAGCCATGCATGTGAGATTGCTCTTAAAGCAACAGAGTGCACCGCCAGGCATCTGCTCCCAGTCCAACCAGTTTACCTCACCAGCTCCCACTGGGAAACATGCTTGGATCAGGCCAGGATCACCTGTATCCCGTCTGTTTGTCCCCATAACGATGGCAACGTTCTGGCTGCAGCAGCCGTTCACAGCCTATTTTTCCGCCGCTGGCTCCTGCATGAACTCTGCCGTTCGCGTCCCACCCTCTCCCCGCCTGCCTGTGCCCCGCTGCACAGGAAAGCTGATTTCTCACCAAACTTTGCTGTCACAGAGCCTCTGCCCTGGGTGGGGGGACAGCTCACTGCCCAGCACACTTGTCACTCCAGCCACCAACTAAAGCACTTCACTGCCAGAGCTCCTGGATGTGCTGACAACTCCATGGGGACCCTTCAAGAGGGTCCCAAGAGTTCCCAAAACATTCATCTCAGGGCCTAGGAGGGCAGATCTTACCCAGCAACACTGATTTGGCCATTCCAAAGGGTCAAAGCTAAGCTTGCTGCTGGGTTTCACAGAGGCAGCACAGGGCACCTACACCTGGGAAGGTCAGGGTGCTATGAGACATCCTGAGAGGCTGCTGAAGAGTGGCAGGAAAACAGCTGCACACACCGGCACAGTGACGCGGGATCAGCCCATCCTACCTGAATCTTGTCTTGACGACGCTGCTGCTCAGCGACTTTCCGAGCCAGGGCTTGCTTTTTGGCTCTGAGCTCCTTGATGTCCATCTCTCCTCCACTGCCTTCAGTCTCAGAATCATCTTCAAATGCCTCAATCCTCACATCATCCTCCTTCTTCCAGGAAATGTAGAAAGAGAAAAAACCAGGAGAGAAGTCATTGTAAAGGATGCTGATGGCAGGGATTGTTCTTGCTCTGCTCTCTCCCAGCAGACAAACCTCTGTCAGGCACAGTCCATCACGGCTTGCTGATGTGTGACTGACTATTTCTAAACATCCAAAAGAAGCCAAATAAAATAGTAAATATCCAGGAAATGACAAGGTGAGACAGGAGGTAATGGGGCAGGAAAGGCAGCAACCGGGCAGGGCAAGGGGCAGCCTTGCTTAAAGCTCTAAAATCACACCCTCTTCCTCACCTTGGAAAACTCTTCCCACAGCCTTGGGTGAGTCACTGATGTTTCATAGCCATCAGTTCTGTGAAACCATGGTATTTCCCTGTCTCTCTGCTTTGCCTGGCTGTTTAGGCTGCACATCCCTGGAAGCAAATGCTGCTTCTCCCCACCTGCCTGCTCCAGGGCTGTAGGAGGCTGCTGTATCGCTGCTGTCTCATCCCACGCTGAGCACACAGGCTGGTCATCTTGACAGGAACCTCAGATCCATGAACCCAGGAAAGCAAAAAGCCTGTCGTCCTTCTCTGTTCTGATCTCTGAACAGGCCAGAGAGGTTTCTGCACCCACCCCAAAACTTCTAGCTGCGTTGGAACAGATGTTTCAGGAGACACTCAATCTTGACTTTCAAGTTCCACATGATGGAGAATCCATTGCATCTTGAGGTCTGTCATTTCAACAGTTAATTACTTCCTCTGTTAACATTTCCACCCTACTCCTTAGTCAGCCTTTGCCATGCTCCTGCAGCCTTGTCTTTGCTGAACTCAAGGGTCCCTGGTTCTCCAACCTCCCACCCACACAAGCATTTTTAGACCATGTTGCATCTTCTCCCTCTCCTAGAGATCCTTCCCTGGGTCTACACACCAGGAGTTCTGCAGACCCTTCCCAGTATGCCTGCACTGCCTGAACTGGAGACCCCAGAACGAACCATGCTATTGCCACCCCAGGTGAAGGCCATGATGGCCTTTCCCCATGCACCCAGATCTTTGGGACACAGGAGGGTGGGATGTGGTGGATGGTGTCCAACTGCAGATAACTCACAACCAAGTTCTGCCTCAGCTTTGCAGCTCACCCCGATGACGCCACACCCAAAGGGAAGCCCACAGGTCCCTGTTTCTCAACACGTATCCCACACGTGTGATCCCAGCTCTGCCACTGCTGCTTGCAGCCCCCTCATCTTGCCCAGCCTCCCTTGCTCCCCAGTGCAGTGACCATGGTGGTCTTCCCAAGCCCTGCCACTACCAATCTCCCCTTCCCTGCACAAAAGCTAAAGGTTGTGATGGGGCTGGGAAGAGTTCTCAGATGGCACCCAGGCAGAAAAACATGCTCTGAGCCCCCAACAGGCTGCAGGGGCCAGATCTTGCACAGAGGGATAAGAGCATGGCTATGCTCCCTGCCCTGTGCAGGCTGCCATGACATGTGGCAGCAGAAGGGACTCGTGGTCTTAATTTGGAACAACCCCAGTGCTGCACAGTTGTGCACTAAATCATTTCACCCAGACCGCACACCCGCCTGGCCACAGAACCACCTACTCCTCTCTCCTTGTGACTTTTTAGCCATGGGAAGGAGGAAGATGGAGCCCTCATGCTCACTTCCCTCTGCCGAGACAGCCTGGACCACAGGGGATGCTGCCATGCGAGGGCCTCAGGGAAAAGCATCTGTCAGATGCAGATCTGCTGTGGTGGGTCGAGACCTGCTTGCCCCGGGTGGTGGTGGTCACGCTGGTGAGCTGGAAGCTCTCTTGAGATCAGAGCCCAAGGAGGAAGCTCCAGGGTTGTGCAACAAGCTCATGGAGACGTTCCCACAGCTGAGCAGAGACAAGACAGGAGGGAGCTAGGCTCATACTGTGCTTGTTCACAGCAGAAATTGGAGGGACTGACCCAACAAAAGGAGCATTCTGGAGAACAGGACCATCCCTGTTGTGACACTGGATAGAACTTAAAGACTCCCCCATGTTCCATATGTCAGCTTGAAAAACCTCCAGCATCTTCTCCACACAAGGACAATGGTCCAGGTCTCCCACCTTACAGAGACATCTCTTGTGGCCTGGGGATTTGCTCTGAGCCTCAGTGCAAAAAAAACCACCTACAATCTGTCTCCTGCTCAGCTGGAACTGGCTGTTAGGACAAGGAGGGTGCTGAGCACAGTTTTGCTCTGGGTCCCTCTGGCTGTCAGCTCCCTGGGGCACATGGAGCCGTGGGACAGAGACAAGGTCCTGTCCCCTGCACGGGGAGATATCCCTCTGGCTCTGAGCACCCGGCACAGGGTGGGGAGCCAGAGTGAAGCTGGGCAGTGCCGGGCCACCCAGCTTCCCGTTCCCAACGCCTCTGCCCCTCTCTCCTGTTTCCCTGGCCTTTCCAACTGCAAGATTAAACAGAAGAAAAGAGTCAACCTGCAGAGCGGCTGGCAGGGCCCTTAAACACACACACGGAGCCTGGAGTGAAGCAAGGCCTACAGGAACAAGCAAGGGCAGAAAAACAAGAGCTGAATTCCTTAATCACATCAGGATGTGAGAGGCAGGGGAGGGACGGGGCGCCAATGTCAGCTCTTCCTGTACGTGTGCTGGAGGCTGGAGCTCAGGCCTCTGCCGCAACGAGTTCCACGGCTATAAACTTGATCCTGAAGCTGAACCCTGACACCCCCTCGCCCACCTCCTCCCCCAGGGATGCAGAGCTGCACGTTATTAAAGCTCCCCCCCGCTCTGGGTATGAAAAAGCAGCATCTGGAACTCATAGCAGCGCGCGAGATAGAGGCAGGCGGGCCGGGCTGGCAGGAAAGGGCACGAGTGAAGCACACTCGTGAGACAAGGGCTGTGCACCATTTGCCCCCCCGCCTCCCCCCATAAAATGCACACGCAGCTCTGCTGGCTATAAATAGCGGGAGCTGCAGGGCAGGCAGAGGCTGGGCCCCACAGGGGTGATTCTTCCTTCACCGAGGCGCGCTCTTCCCGCACGGTACCTGATCTTCCAGTTGTTTTCCCTCTTGGCTTCCCATTTCCTTTCCCATGGCGTCTGGGACGGGTGCCACTGACACATATTTTCCACCCTTGAATGCCAGCAAAGGCTCTTCTTGTCCACAAAGGGCTTCCAGGAAATACTTCAGAACTGTGACCCTCTTGCAGTCGGCTGCAATAACCTACGGGGTGAGGACGAGGGGGTTGGGGAGAGGGAAAGGAAAACAGTCAGTGCAAAGGGGAGCGGATGAGTAACAACCAGGGGGATATGTTCGGGGATAGAAGGCCCAGCGAGATGTAGGCAGCACTGCAGGGATGTGCAGGGTGCCCCTCTTCTAAACATGGATGAAATGGGTTTGGTTTGCCTTGCAGCTCATATTCCCCAGGGAAAAGAAGGCAGGCAAAGTCAGGACACCCAGTACTGATCCATGTCATGTCCTGCCTCCTCTGTGAACTCCAGTGCTGCAGGACTGCCAGGAGAC